ATATTCGTCTGTGGTGATTATCGTCGAACAAGCATCAATGCCAAACGATCTTCAATGGTCCCCACTTCAAGAAAGGAGGGCCCAGACTAAAGTTAACATGATGTATCGCATAGTAAATGCTCTCGTCAATGTATTCCGCACGTGCCTGACTCCATCAGGTGTAAACCTTCGTGGTCATTCCTGCAAGTTCCTGGTACCATTTGCAAGAACTAAAATTTACCTTAAATCTTTCTTCCCGGACAGCATCCGTCTCTGGAATAGTCTTCCACAGCATGTTATTAATTAATGTAATTAATTCCTTTTAATGTAATTAATTCCTTTTTATGACTTGTGCTTACCTTTGTGCAATATTTCATGGTTTTAATATTTTTATATAATTGTAATTAATATTTTGTACATACAATTTTTTTAGCCTTTGTGCTACCAATTGTATATTGATGTTTATACCGAAATAAATAAATAAATAAATGTTGTCGACAGTGAATCACTCAGTCAGGGGTGGTGCCAGGATTTGCCCGACGGGGGGGGGGGGGGCCGAGGTCCCCGACGAGGGGGCCGAAGCCCCTACGAGGGGTCAGATTTCCCCGACGAAAGCAAAGTGGGCGTGGTCGAGCTTCGATTAAAAGATATTGAAAGTGGTCTCGCCCCCGAAAATTTTGACAATTTAGGGGTTTCAAAGGCTTATTTAATCGATTTTATAGTCTACTAATATGTAGAAAATACATATAATTTTTTTCTCCCCGACGAATATTGCTTTTCCTCCCCGACGGGGGTGGGGGGGCAGCTCTCCCCGAGGGGTGGACCCTGGTACCCCGGTCCCCCCGCTGGCGCCACTCCTGGACTTAGTACTTTCAAACGCAGTCTGAAAAACCTGCAGCTCCGAAACTAAAACAGAGCAGTAGTGAAATGGGTACTTCAATTTTACTACATCAATTTATTTACACCAATTTCCAATTTTATTAAATTAAAAAAATACTAGATACTGTACTAGAATGGAAGGAGATATAGGCCCTATATATAGGCCTATATTTTTTAGCTGATATGAAGACTTTCGTTTTTGAAGACAAGCGCCTGATTTTGCCAGGAAAGTTGGTCACATAATATGTATAAATTATTTTAAATATAATATGCAAGAACGATTATTAGAATATAAGTGAGAAAACATTTAAAAAAGTATTAAATAGGCTTATAATTTATTGTAACCGTCATTTGCTTACTTAGCTGCGTTATTAGTATACTTTGTGAATGGCTATAACACAGTAAATGCTTGCGTAGTATTGAATTGGTTAATAAGACTTCACATGATTAATGTTTTGTTGTAATTGGTTAAAATACTGAAGAAAGAATCTCATATTGAAAGAAATTGGAATTATAAAATTTGGTATAATAGAGGAGACAGCACAACTTCTGTTTAAAGGTCCTAAAGTAAAAACACGGTGTTTTCTATGTTTACGAGACAGGCATTTGACGGAGCTCTCTAGAGTTTTGTAAACCTCTATGTGGACAAGGTCTGTTGTAGGACTGCCCTATGTGTTCATCCCTCTGAATAATTAAATGTTTCAAAATTCCCCAGAATAACATGGCACTAACAAAACTATTTGTTATATTTACGAATTTGTTAAATTAAAGACTTTAAAGAAACAGTCTGTCATATCACATAAACACGCTTTGAATAAAGTTGCAGTACTGTTGCTGCTGCGTATCGTTAGTGCAGATAATATACTGGCCCCTCCAATGACTCCATGACATAAATGTTTATTGAAGCACACGACGGTATGCGATGTGTACAAATAATGTGCAGATCCCGGCATTCCATGAATCATGCCACACTCATTAAAAGTGGCTCTTCCTCAAGTTATTCCACGCGTGCATGTCTGTATGTTAATAACAGTCAATTAATATTGAAGAGATTAAGATATTTCGATTTTTATGAAACAGAATAATAAAATGCGGACTAATCATGACCTGTAATCATGGATATATAACAAATCTACTACATGTCACATGTTTGGGCACGCCTAATTTGTTGCAAGTATATAAACACAAGTTCAAGAAGCCAACAACTTACAGTCGTTCTAATAGTCTGCTCATTATGAGGCATTTAATTTATTGAAGATCAATCCACGAAAAATAATATACACCACTGTATGTGTAATACTGTGTGTCTTTGGCAAATATATAGTTACAGCTGCGCAGTTGTTATATACAAAATTTCAATACATTGCTTTAAATCATAGGCCTATTTAAATTTATGGCTAAAACATTCTTATAATCACTTACTACTACTGCAAATTATTCAAAATATTGCATATAATTGCATTTAGCAACATGGGGTGCGGGAATCAAGTACCCTTTTCCTATGAGGTGCATCACTGTCCCTATATCACAAAATGGCAATGTCTGTTTGCCAAAAAGAATCATTACTTCATCAGTTTTTACCAATATTTACATACACACGTATATCCAAAGACGAACGCCCAAACGAAGTCAACTTTCTCTACACAGTTGGATTCTAATGTCACCACTTGTGAAATATTGGTCAAAGCTGAGGTCCCAGGGTATTGTCTAAACATGTGCATCAAAACCCAGCGCAAGCTGTCATTATGTTTGTCAGTTGTTAATGTGATTTAAATATTTTCTAATTTTTACTCTCATCATTGAGGCCAGTCTGTTTGAGGCCTCTAACACAAGAAGAGGATTTCACCCCTGAATGATTTGATATTTTTATATAGATTAATAGATCATAACTATAAATATATATATATATAGATATATATATACTGTATAATAAATAGATAAATAATAATAACAGTGCTTAGATAGGAATATAAGATGTTATCTTTGTATCAAGCATAGCCCTTCAAGTCCCTTTTTCAGTCATATGAAAAAAGTGTGTGTAGCGGCATTCGCACCTGAAGCCTTTTGCTATCAAAGCGTGCGTCATACCGTTAGACCATACAGACCTAACAGTATAGGCACAAATCTAACCCCCAGGCACTCTCTTTCACACAACTGACTTATATGCTCGCACATAGTGGAGCAATTGTTAGACTAGGTTCCTCAAAGTAATTTTGGATATCGTTGCTGAGGTCCAAGACATGTAAGTACGAGCGTTTGCGACACGACAGGTATGTTTGTGGGAAAAGTGCATATTCCTGGCTGTGTTCTGACTGGTCAATTGTTAAATTTGATTGACACTCCGAAAAGTCCTTTAAATAATACTGAACTAGGCATACAGTATTTTTGTCAACAACATAAAGGACAACAGAGTATTAAACACTGAATTGTCTTTGCACATCAAGTACATTGAATGACATTACACTTGACGTGCCTGGACAGGAGAACACACTGCGAAGGCTTTTATTCCCGCCTTTTTCAGTCTTCAGAAGACTCATCTGGAGGTCATCCTTGTGCGGTTCATTGCTGTTGGAAAATACTCCCCACCAGTCTTCTTGGGAAATCTTTCTGTCTTCTTTCTTGGGCAACTTTCTGTTTTCTTTCTTGGACATCTTTCTGTCTTCTTTCTTGGACATCTTTCTGTCTTCTTTCTCTGACATCTTTTTGATGGAGCTCTTGATCCTGGAGAGCATATGTCCTGATTCTGATGCACTCTTTGTGTTCTTTGATGCTGTCATGTGCTCCTCACTCGTGTCTCTTGGACTTTGTTGGTAATCATTGATTGCAGGTCCAGTCACCATTGCTCCTACTACAAGGTACTTCTTGGGCAAGTGAGGAGACAACTCAGCTGAAATATAAATTGAATATTAAATAAATATGTTTATCATTAATATATAATTTTTTTTTTCATTTATTTATTTAAAAAAAAATAATTGTACAGAATAGCACATTCTGCAGCTTTTGTTATTCCTTGACACTGATTTGAGTTACCTTGAAATTTATTGCGATGCTTTTTTTTTCTCCTTGTAATGTATTGTTGAATTTTCTTGCCAAAAAAAAATAAATAAATAAAAATAAGGTAGAGGAAGATATCATGAACTTAGAGATGAGATTTAGACAGTGAAGATAAACCATATTTTTTTCATTATTACGTGGACAACAACCACCAACACAACATCGACAGCAAAAATAACTACAACGTCACAGTGTGCCACCCAACTTTACTTGCAGGGAATTTTGGCACTTACAAAAAAAAAACAAATATATAGAGTACATGCATACATATATAGAGTATACTGTACATTCAAAATCCATGCCTATTATAAATACAAGGCAGGAATATTTTTTAACAGAAATGCGACTACTATTCCATTTGTCTATGAAAATTGCTTTCTATTTCATATTTTTAGCACTTAGTTTGGTATTTTGCTTTCTATTTAGTTTTTATTTCTATATAAAAACTTGCATATAATGAGCATTGCATTAAAATTGTAAAGATATACAGCACTAAGAAAACCTAAAAAATGAATTAAAAATTAATTGCCCATCAGAACCACATAAAACAAATTAGCACCTTTCTGTACATGAACTATTAGTTTCACATCGGGACAAAAAATAATTTTTGGTGAGGGTATTTATCAGTATTCACTCGATTCTACCTAATTAATTTTTTTTTTTTTTTTTTTTCGGCATTTTTAACGTTTTGATGTAAATTTTGATGGTTTGGTAGACTTGTCTTGTCTTTTTCTTTTACAAAATACAAAAAATTCTGTGTTTCATCGTTCTATTTCATGTCGCGTTTTCTTTTATTTCAATGTAGATTTTTGATGTGTTAAATGGTATTGTGATGATTTTTGGTTTTAAACATTTTTATTAGCTTTTAATGTATATTTCTTATATGTTTAAAGTGTATGTTGGTCTATGAATATTTTTAATTCTGTACAGCACCGATGAACATTTTTAATGGATATTGTTTTGCGCTTTATTAAATGAAATTATTATTATTATTATTAATAGATCTGTTAAAAGTATTAATTAGACAGTGTATTAGTTAAGTAAGAAACGTCTATAGCAAGACAAATGTACATATTTTATTATTATTCTTATATTGTTAATTATTGTTGCACATCTCTTTAGCGATTGTGCCTCTGTTACAAAAGAGAAACAATAAAGTTATAGTTATAGTTATTAAGTATCAGTTTCGGTGACATCACCTTTATTTTTCACCGAAACTGATCACTTAGGCAGAAGTGGCTGTAGTATTTGTTACTATCCTATATACAGTACAGTACTAGTGATAAACAAGCTGATAAATATTAAACAATTTTATTTATAAAAGTAGCTATAGTATGTCTTCGATTATATTTCCACCTCAGTTTAGGTTTGAGAACAATTTTTCAGATCATAATTATTTTTATTTTCCATGGAAAACATTTTTTCATGAGGCCAAACTGAGGCATGTTGTTTAAGTTTTAGCAAAAATTGAAATTCAAGTTATTGGTATTTTCAGATACCTGAGTATGTGATCTTTAAAATGAGGGGTCATTCATTGAAATTGGACATTTCAAGCCACAGTTATTGGAAAGTGAAAGTACAGTACCCTTAGAGGCTAGATAAACATGATTTTGAGTAATTGCCTTTCAAAGTTCTTTGTGCATACATTGTTTAATAGAATAATCTATCAAAATAACATTAGATAAACAATTTGTTGACCACTTCCAGAATTAATACTTTGGGACATGAGTAATAAGACATTAAACTGTTGATCTACAGTGAAAAACAAATTAGGGTTTTTAAGCAATTTTTTGAGCTCCCATATTTTCAAGCTCATTTACTCAATACTGGCCTGTGCGACAACTTAACCATTTCGCCACGACATGCC